AGAATTGCTAAAAGCTTATTCTTTTAGCAGTTAAAAATTATGGCTTCTGGGATGAAATCCAAATATATGTATCTGTATGAAATTGATTCTTAGCTTATGTGTTATCTGTACAATGTTACATTTATTGTTTAATAAAATTTTATTTTCTACTATTGTTAAGGTATTTTTAGTATTAGTTATACCAATTAAAAATGAACATTACTCATTATCGTGTCATTTGTACTTATTTTCATTCTATTCATTGTATTGGTCCCCATTTATGTTTTTATGTGTGTGTGCATGTTTTAAAAAAAAGGATTCAACTTCAGTTGAACCATGTAATTTTTCCATGAAAGCCTGTCATCATGAGGCAGATCAAATGTTCAACAGTAGTTTGTCTTCAAGACAGAATAATTAAACAATTACCCAGGACTAGATTGATGTATGGATTCTAAATAGAATCCTTAACTTATAGGTACTGATGAACAGAAGAACTATCTGCATTATGTCATGTGATCATTTGCATTTTATGAAAATTTAGTATTTTAAATTTAAAAATCTTGTGTGCTGAAGTAAATTTTTTTCTTACATGCATGTTAGCACTTGTTTTAAATTTTACCCAATTTTAATTTCTTTTTTTTCGTTGAAGACTTTGAATTGAAGATTCAATTGTAATTATCATTATCACTACTATAGATACAGTTTAATGTCATGATCAAGGAGAAGATTGGCCCTAATAAGAATGGCTACGATGTGGTTGTAACTTGGTCATACTTAGGACCAAACTGGCCAGTATTGGAATGGCCAATAAGTGGTCAGAAAGTGACCAAGAAAATGAATGAAATTTGAAGTCTTGCCAAGGACTAGATAGATCATAAATGATCATTAATAAATGAATGTAGTTTAAAGTCTTACCCAGAACGGGAGTGATCAGCAGTGACCATTAAGTGGTTGCAGTTTAAAGTCTTACTCAGAACTAAATTGACCATAAATGAACATTATGAAATGGATACAGTTTAAAGTTTTACCCAGAACTAGATTGTGCATTATGTGTAAGGGAAATTTCCATTGGAAACAGATGCTGTATGTTGTGATTGTCATAAGATGCATCTCCTCTAGCTATATGTAGATTTCCATCATTTCCATAAAAAGGTTCAAGTTTTTGCAGGATTTTTAATTAATACTGTATTGTCTACTTTATCTTATTATTAAAATCCATATTGTATAGATTCTTACAACTTTCTCTTAACTCAAGAGATATTCCTCATTCCATGATTTTTTGAAGTTAATTAACACCTTTTCCCTTTCAGTGAGAGCATCTAATAACTAAGAAACTTCAATTTCAGGAGTTCCACCGGAATCACTTTTCAACAAAGTTTCTCCATCAACATTAGGATGTAAAAAGGCATTGTGTGTTAATGGTAAATGTCCAGTATCAGACATACACTCTGATATGTTAGGAGGTCTAGAGTTTATATCTGCTTATTCATCCGATTTGAAAACCAGTCTGTGAAGAATCCAAATATATTTTGAAAAGTCTTGTGGGGAGACTTCAATTCTTTCTTTATTTCCTTCGGTCTCTTGTTGGTGAAATATATCATAAGCAGTAGACAAATTCTTTCTTTCTAAGGAATGCATAATTTTATCAAGCGTTTTCAAGGCAACTTGATAATTAGATGACACTGATTTGATCCTGTCTTCATGCCAGGGTAATTCCATGAAATATGAATTGTCTCTGAACTCTATTGTTTTTTTGAATTTATCTATTTTGTTTTTGTCATAATCACTGATATGTTCATCGAAGGATGACGTGCATGAATCCACAGCAAATATTTTCTCTAAGTTCTGTTCGATGTTAGATAATTCGAAGGCTTCTTGGAATATTTTAAGGTAGGTGGACTTTGGTCCTAATGCAAATCTTCCTTGTTGTTTGGGACACAAAGAATGTTAAAAAATTATAGTATGATAGTTGACTAGAACATTGGAAGCCTCAGGTCCTGTTGGGGTAACTTGATGTCTGTACAGAAAATTTACTGTTCTTGAAAGGGGCAATTCCATTTGGCATTTTCCACACCATTCATGTAACAATTTTGGTATCTTCCATATGTTGGAATATGTCCACTGCCAGAATTCCATGTATGCTTACTTGATTACTATAGTTATTATGAGAAAAGGCTAATTTGTAATTTAATTTAGTCAAATTGCTTATCACTTGTCTGAAGTCATTGAAATTTAATTAAATATTAAATTTGTTGTCCAACAAAACAGGAATAGGATGTGATCTCCCTTTGCCCACATTTATTTCCAAAATGACTTGATGTAATTTCTTATTGGAAACATGTAAATAAGTATTTACTTGGAAATCAACAAGATTCAGATTCAAGTTCGGTCATTTTAACTTTTTTAATATTCCTTTCACTGGCTACCTGTGTCCAATAGGCAGTTTATAGAGACTTTCTAAGTGCCTCAATATAAAGTGACTTCTACAATAGGTAACATTAAGTTTGTTTTTTTTTCATTATTGGTATTGGCACCTACATGAGTAAAAAGAGATATTCGCTTCTTACGATTATTGCATAGTGACATTATATGTCCCTTAGATGAACATTGTTTACAGGAAAAGAATAATTTATTCTGAAGTCAAAGGCAATCTTCAATTTGATGTCTGCCACTGGAGCATCTCATGCATAATTTCAAATATCTTGCTGCCCTAATTTTATAGGTAACATATTTTGTACACTTTCCCATGGGATGGCCACATGAAGCACAAAATTTTCATGGCGTCCCATTAGAGCTGATGGCGAAATTTTGTAATGCCACACCATTATTTTCCTTTTCATCAGATTTGTTACTTTTAGTATTTTTTTCACATGCACAGAAGAGCCTCTTATTTTTTATCAGTGTGCATATAGCTTCATTATAATTCTTGATTACTTCCAATAGGGAAGGGTAATTGCTACCTACCCTGTGAATGATTTCCCACCTTAAATTATGAGGTAGTTTATCAAATATGATGTGGCTTATGAGTTTGAATCCAGGGGAATCTTACACAAAAAAAATCCATACCATACAAGGATCTTAACTCAGACAAATTGACAAGATTGTTTAACAGTCACAAGATTATGATCGTATTTAGGAGAACTGGTTATTATTTGTTGGAAGATCTCATGAATTATAAAAGGCACATTCAAAAAATTCTTTCATTAACAGACTTATTGCTACATTGTAATTGTCAAGATTAGCTGGTAGAATAACTCTAAGAGGGTTAGCTTTGCTTTCTTAGAATTGATGGAATTAGTACAATTGTTAAACTCTGCTATAAAATTCTTAAATTCAAACTTAGGATTAATTCCACTAAAAGTAGCACACTGTAATCTGGGAGTTGACATCATTGAATATCTGTTGGATAAGGAACTGGCTTTGCTGCTGTGGGAAATACTGTTTCTCAGATTCCTCAATATCAGCAAGCAAGCTGAAACCAAATTTTTTCCTTTGTTCAGTGATAAAACCACTTTCCTCTAAATCTGGTTTGGCTTTACTACAAATCTCCTTGATTTTACCATCCAAAGCTCGAATTTCTCCCTGAAGATTTTTGATGATGCTTTCTTCCTTTTAAAAGATTTTTCCTTTAAGTTCTTATCTTGCTCCAGCAATTCCAAACTTAAGCTAATATCATTTCTTAAATTGTTCTTAGAGTCAATAAGGGCTTTAACTTCTTGTAATTATCCATCTTGAAATTGAATTAAAATTATTAATTTTTTTTTTTTTTTTTTTTTAAATATTTTAAAATCCACTTGTCCAGATTTATTTCACTGAATGAAGATGGGCAAAATTAACACATGTCCATAACAATTTCACTTAGCTGTGAAGGCAAAAATTACTTTTTATATATGAAAAAAAAAAATATAAAGACAATACATGAGGATATATTTTCTATTGATGCCTTTATGCTCAGTTTCGATTTTTGTTTTTAATTCTCTATCATGCAAACAAAATTGCTTTATGTGTTCCACAAAGTATATATATATATATATAGCAAATGATTATGTTTAGTGAAATTGTGTATATGTTACTTGCAAGTATGTTTTTAGCAAAATATGGGAAATTTAGCAACTCTCCAAATTGATTTGTGGGTGAACAAAAATGAGACAATTGAACAGTTCATAAAACATACTTTATATAATACATTATACAATGGGAACGAGAATATAGAATTGCTAAAAACATTCTTTTAGTGGTTAAAAGTCATGGTATCAGGGACGAAATCCAAATACATGTATCCATATAAATTGATTGATCACTTATCTGATGCTGTTCATTCTTCTGATAGCTGCTTGTCTTTACATTATTCACGTTTAGCTTGTGGCCAGCATCACCTGTTCTGAAGTAGGCTAAAACACATCTGCTCTGTTCATGGTCTCTCCACTTGGGTAAAATCTAAAATTAGCTACCAATTATCATCAGATGAATGGACCCAGCTTTCTATTGACAGGTGTTATCTACCAAGGGAAAATAACCTAGATTTTTTTTTTATAGGGGTTACCATGGAGCTTAAAGTTATCCACACCAATTGTTTTCTACCTAGTGATCTACTCATTTCAAAAACATCAGTTGAATTAAAAATAATGCTCAATGAAGCTGATGAAATGGATTATTAAAAGTAGATTCACTTATTTTATCAAATTTATACAGATATACATTCCCAATGTAGATGTTCAATTTTACACAGATTATTGAGATGTAATGTACTCTATCACAGACTTGAACTCCAGAAAGAATACATTGCATTTTTGAAGAAGAAAAATACTTTGGATGTCTGGATCAGAATATTTAATAGAAATTATTTTAAATTGTGTTAGCACAAACATGCAAATCAAAGATGAAAATATTTTAATTTTGACTAGTTACATTTCAGAAAAAAAATAGCAACTTTAACTATAATTTTTTCTCTAGAAATGCTCATTTCAAATCTCATGTAAATTTCCACAATTCAGTTTTACAAAACTATTTTTTCTTTTAAGCGAATTTTTCAAGAACTGGACACTGATGAAGATAAGCTGATTTCCCGTGAAGAATTTATGGCTGCTATGGATAAAATACCAGAAAAGAATATCAAGTAAGTAGCAAACTTTGTAAGTGGGGGAAAACCACCTTAATTACTTTGCATTAGCTTTGGTAATTCATTTTTATTACACCTAAGAGTAACAATTGTACAACTATTTTCAGATATCCTTCATAGATTTGTTTTATATTTGCTCCCTAACAGCTACTTGCTGTGCTGAAAAGTGCTTGGCCCAATTAAGAAGCCCTATATAAATAAAAAAAAAAAAATTTTCAGATTTTATGAGGTAAATCAGACTAAGATTTTTTAGTGCTCCCTTGCATATGCAAGTTTAAAAAAAAAAAAAAAAAAAAAAATAGAAGTGCTCAATAACTGACCCAAGAACATGTTCCACTTTTTATCAGATTTCAATGACCCTGAAATATCAATGTCACACTCAATAGAATTTTAGGGATAAATGTGCCCTCAATAAGACAGTGTCAAAAGGCCAGTTTTTCCCCATGACACTGCAATTTTTTTTTTTTAACTAACTTCACAGCAATGTCCGTTTTAATAAGCAATAATTGAAATTAAAAAAAAAAAAAAAAAAAAAAATCAATCTAAACGTGTGATAAAAGTGAATTCATGCATTTTTTGTTCAAGAATTTACAAAAATATTAAAACATATATATATATATATATATATATATATATATATACACACACACACACACACTTGTAAATAAGCAATCATGCAATGAAACACTTAAGATTTACTAAATTATAAAAATACGTGTGCCAACTATCCTTATTGCGGGCATGTTTTTCCAAGTCTGTCATATTGGGAATACTCTTAAGGTTTGACATTTTTTTTTTCACATCAACCAGGATTCTAGAGTGTCTCCACCTTTATGTGTGCATTTGAAATGCTTTTTTTTTTTAAAAAAAAAAAAAAAAAAACATGGAAGAATTTAACATCAATTTTTCTTTATCTTCTGCAGAGAGATGGGAATGAGAAAATTGTTCAAAGAAATTGATAAAGATTCCAGTGGTTACCTTACGTTTGACGAGCTGAACAGTGCTATTCAAAATCTAGCATTGGATGTAAACACAGAAAAAATCAGTGATATCTTGATCCATTTGTGTCAAAGCAGTGAAAAGATTGATTATGAAAATTTTTTAGAAATGTATGCCAACCAGTAACCGCACTTTTGAAACTAAGGCCCAGCCATTGTTTTGAAACTTGTTATCAATAAATTTTAATATATTTAATTTGTATTCCAGACAATTTTCCTTGATCTGGATTACATGCAAAGTGACTGTTTGTTATGATTATGCCTTTGCAGATATGAGAAGGGTTTTAGGATTACATTGGATTTAAACCAAATGTAAAACTAAATTGAACAAGTTTTTATAGATCAAAATCTGTGTGGCAGGAGCTAATTAACAATGTTAATTTTTATTGATAGTGAGTAGGACAATAGAGGAAAGTCATTTCCCCTCTTTAATAAAATAAGGAAGTAAATTCTTAATGTCATATAAACAATTGTTACTGATCCCAAGAAAGCACATTTTCCTTTATATAATTTCTTAAAGTCTGAGCACTGATAAACATGAGCTGAGATCAAAACCTTTACAGAAGAGTTATGCACCATTAACAATTTTATGTACCTTTGATCAGAAAAAAAAAAAAAAAAAAATAATATAAAATAGAAGTTTCCTTTGTGTATAAAAAAGCTATGCATACTGCTGAACTGGCAAAGGTTCTTTTGGTAGCTACAAATGAACAGAACTAGTTTTAAATAAAAGAATTTTTTTTTATTTAACATCAGAATGTAAGGAGCTACTGTATTTGCTGATGCACAAGATTGTTTTTTTTTTTTTTTCTGAAAAAAGTCTCAAGAATTTGCTGTGTGAAGGTTAGGGTTTTTATAGGCCTATGCTAACTCTAGAGGAAGTTTATCTATGCCAGATAGTAAACTGAATTCCTGTATGTTATATAATTTGAGACTTGTTTAAGGGGGGGGAATCTGTTCTTCACACTGGTAAATATGGTACTTTTTCTTTAATTAAATTCTGGGTACATTTCTTAACATGAATTTAAACTGATAGTCAAAAGAAACATATCTGCTACATTTAAGTTTGCAGACAAGATAGTCATACATTTTTTTTTAAACCTAGAAAAACAATCAGCAGCATTTATTCACTCAGAGGATAAAAGATTCAGGTGACAAAGTAACAAATTTATTGAAGATGTACAATTATATATTTGGGTTTTATTAAAATTTTAATCATCACTTAAAAATTTCAAAATGGTAAATATTATATTGTACGTGGCTGACATTTATGTAATCATTATTGTAATAATTTTGATGCCTTAGCTTACTTATTTCATACAACTACAGAAGTTAAAGTAAAAATAACTGACCAATAGAGAATTAACTTAATATTCAGATTAAAAGAGGAGAGAAAAAAAAATGTAGTGTTGATTGACAGTTTGGTGGAGTAAGCTAAACAATCTCATCCATATACAAATATAACCTATACATGATTTTTGTGATAGTTAAATGTAATTCAGAAGATACAATTGATGACCTAAAAATTGATCTAAAATACTTAGAGGAAAAAGAAAATCCATTTTTTTCAGCTTTTAAACAGCATTCAAGGATTTTGGAAGAGTATTATTTGAATAATGAATAAAAAGGCATGAAATAATTTTTTCAAGTTATAGATAATATTCCAAATTATGTGATTATTGGTGATTTTTTTTTTTTTTTGCAAAAAAAAAAAAAAAAAATTTACATAAGTCCATGGAGGAAGCAAAGGTTATCAAAGTTCCCAATGCTAAAGGATTTATTAGAATGTTGGCAATGTTTAATGTTTGTGCACAGAAAATGTGAAAAGGACTTATTGCCTTGATATCACTATTACAGTATATACTTTTCACTCCTTAGGCAATGTAAATTTACAAGATTAGATAAATGTCAACTACATACAATATAATATTTATTTACTATTTTGAATTTTTTTTAAAAGTGATGATTAAAATTTTAATAAAACCCAAATATATAATTGTACATCTTCAAGATTAAAAAAAAAAAAAAATGTGTACTAACTATAATGAAATACATATTTACCATTTTATAAAGAAATGGACTTAAAAAAACTTTTCATTAAAAAAAATTAAGATAAAGAAACTTACAAAATATGTGAGAGGAAACGATGCTCTTATGCTATTTTAATGAATTTATGTAGAAAAAAATGAAAAAAAAAAATGCCCAGAAAATGCATTTTTTCAAATTAGAACTATGTGCTTAAGTTTTCTTGATCAAAACATTTTTATAAAATTTATGAATAAAAAAGAATTTTCATGTTGATTTCTTTATGAAATGGTAAATACATATTTCATTATACTTAGTTTCCATTTTTTAAATCTTGAAGATGTTTGGGTTTTATTAAAATTCTAATCATTTTTAAAACGAACAATGTTTAACCTTTTGTCTTTACAAAAAATGGTTTGTCAAATGAACAGTTATTCCTTTGACACTTATTACTGTATACACTTTTGAATCCTTCAGCAAAATTTAAGACCTGAACATTTTAACAATCTCTTAAGTGGGGTTTCACTCAAATGCACGATCAAGCATTTCATTTTCTCAATACTTTCATGTGGTCATTCTGTTTACAATTCTGAGAGAAAAATTCTTGTAATCAAAGAATAATTTTTGCAAATTTTGTAGTTAAAGCTATTTTGCAAAGTTTTCACAAAAAAAAAAAAAAAAAAAATAATAATAATAATAAAGACAAAACTTTAAAATTTAATCATTTTATTTTTAGTTGCTTGTTTAAATTTAATCTTTAAATTTCAGTTTTGCAAAGACAAAAAAAAAAAAGCATAAAAATTGATTCTGAGTAACCACCAAGCAGTTAAATTTTTCTGAAAAGGAAATAAATTTGGGGAAATTCATTATCAGATACACAAGTATCTTCATTCAATGTAGAAATATCCTTGGGAAAGAGAATTTTTTTTTCAATTGTCATATGGTGGTAACTGGTAGATTCAAAATATCAAAAATGTACCACGAATGTGGAGAAGCAAAGATAAGGAAAAGGCATTGCTTCTTATGTTGAAGACTGAAATGAGAGATGGCAAACTCTCTAAAAAAAAAAAAAAAAAAAAAAAAAAAAAAAAAAAAAAAGAAAATGAAAAGTATCTAATGCAGGCAGCTAGAATAAGGATATAAAGATTGAAAGTAAGAGAGCCATGTTTTGTCAAGCAGTTGGTCCACAGTAGAACATTAACAGGTTTGTCCTTTTATGCTACCAATTAACTGTCCACTCAAACTGTTGACATGCTTAGTGTTATGCTATATTTCTGTAGTTTTCACAAATGAATAATGTGTACATATACAATAAACACTTGAAGCCATTAAAATGGTTTCAAGTTCACCTCAGTTATCCCATTCAAAAAACATTTACACATTACAAAGTTTGCAACAAAAGATGTCTAGTTTTGATAGAGTGTGTGTGTGTGTATGTGTGTGTAAGAGGTAGATGGAGTTCACATGAGAGGTGCACATATCTTAAAGAAACAAACTGATGCAAGGCAGCATTTTATGGCAGGATGATTGCCTGATGATTATTGCTCAGAATGGCAGATGTTATGGTCAGGATTTGGTTGGAGCAGATATTCACTTGTAAAGAATGGGAAAACAAAAAGCTTGACTTAAGCATACTGCAGTTAGGAAAAGTTCACTAATAAAATTAATTGACAAGTAAAAAATCTGAACTAATTACAGTTAAATCTCAAACTAGTACTCTTAAATGTTTGAGTATTTGGTATAAGAGCATTTCAGTTTGTCAACCACTATATATATATATATATATATATATATATATATATATATCTCAATTGAATTAACATAACTGCTTGTACTGAATAGGTTTTCAGTTTAGAAAAACCCTTCACATGCTCAGATACTTTTTTTTTTTTTTACAGTTTGAATAAATACCCTGCATGAGTTGTTTAAACTCATTTTAACAAGGTTTTATTAAAAAATATTAGAATTGCCAAATCCTTAATTCATTTTGGAGGAAATTCAAGTGTAAAATAAAGTAGTGAAAGAAAATATTTCAGAGAGAGAGAGAGAGAGAGAGGAAAAAGTGTGTGCATGTGTACACACGTTAAAAAAAAAAAAATCAGACAAATGCTGGTTAGGCTTTTGATTATAATCAGTACTGCTAGAAGCAGAATGGCAAGTGATTTCCATGGAACATTATTTACAGCACATCCAAAAAGGTGGTAAGCTTCAGTCACCGGTTGGTGCATATCCAATGGCTGGCTGGTTGGTGTGGAAGGCGAATGGCAGCGTTAGGTGAGGAATGTTCTGGCTACTGAAGAGCAACTAATAGATCTAAGTTAACAATTGGATACTGATATTGAGAGTAGGAAGAAATGAAAACAGTTTTATAAGCAGAATTAAAATTATAAGATTAACCCAGAATCAATATTCCATTAAAAGAGAGAAGAAAAGTAAATACTAACAATGAGGAAAGACATACTACAAAGTATTGAAGAAAAAGAAAATAAAAGCATAAATGTTCTATAACAAAATAGGACAAAAGCCATATAATTTAAAAATTCAGATAAGTTATTTCAACTTTTATTAAATCATCTGTTGATTGATGAGAAATTTCAGATTAACAATTATCACTGAATTATATTAGTTCATTTGTATTTATCTAAGAGACATCTGTTTTTAGTTGCTGCTCTTCAACTTTTGCATTATTTTTATATTTCAAGTGTTGAAATTGAAAAAAACCCAAAAAACTCATAAATAAAGCAAGTGTTACTTTTCACTGATATCTTAATCTTCAGCTCAGCTTAAATAAGCAAAAGAAAAAAAAGTTAACTTTAGCAAATTCCCCAGCAACTGCTCATGATATTTTTATTTATAATTCTTCCAATTATTTACAGCATATAAAATATTGACAGATTCAAGTATAAATATGTAATTTTTCAGAATATGAAAACCATTAGGAGATAATAGAAATAACAGCAAAAATTACTAACGTTTATGATCAAATCAATATAAACAATTCATACTTAATACAGAAATATTAGAAGTTGCTACATAAATTCCAAAAACTGATGCCAAAATATAAATTTTACAAAATATCAAAATTTAACAAATGAGCAAGAAGTTTAAAAGATGAAAATTATTCTTGAAAATATTTCACAAAATTGGACAAGATGACTCCATGATTAAATATTGGGTGCTTTCAATACCAAACCTCCATAGTGGTAGTTGATATGGCAAAATTAGATGAAAATAAGTTATGGACAGTTAAATTTGAGCTTAGGAATTTTAATATTTTTAAAATGTCACATCATAAATGAAGGAATACATTTATGTGCATGTACTTTGGCATTGCATTGTGACAATAAGTACAGAAAAAAACTAGAGAGAAAGAAACAAGATATCCTTTTCTGCTCACTTAATTTCTATTATAAGATATGAGAAGTGAGAAAAGTGAAAGCATGAATCAAAAGGAAAACAGGATAAGAAATTGCATTTTTAAAGTGACTGCAGGTTATATTATAGAAAGTTACATGTTAAGAGGATTGAAGGTATTATGAGAACTGAGCAGAAGAAAAAGAGAAACTGACAATGCACAAAGCCACCTGAAGAAGGTTGGCTTTATCACCTTCTCTGTCATGAAGAGAATGGACAATGAATATTCTGGGGGTATTTTTGTTGAAAGATTAAGGGACTTCTGGATACTTTCATTTCTCTTGGTTTTAAGTTATTGGTTTTAAGTTATTGCTTTTAATTACTAGCCAGATTTTTGGGTGACTGCAATGTGTGCTGAACTTTCATCACTCACTTCTTCTTCAGTTTCACTGCGCAAGTCTTCAGTCTGGGGAAGGAAAAGATAAAGAGATATTGAAATAGTTTTATTTCAAGATGCAAACATTGTTTTAATACACTGATTATCAATAAGTCTTACCTTTCCAGTTTTTAAGGCATGGACAGCAACCCGGCATATCACAAGAAACCATTTAATGTGTAGATACTGTAAAGTTAGCAGCAAGATATTGTAGACGTACCAGCCAGGACAGAAGCCAACAATTGGGTGTGCCATGAATAACGTGGTATATACAATTCTGAAAGTAAATCAGGTAATAATACTAGAATAATTATGAGGCAAGACAATTTTAGAGAAAGAAAAAAAAAAAAAAAAAAAAAAAAAAAAAAAAAAAAAAAAAAAAAAAAAAAAAAAGAGAAAAAAAAAAAAAAGAAAAAAAAAAAAGAGAAGCACACATCCATCCACAAGGTTATTTTTTTTCATATACTAAAGCTTATTTTAAACAATAAAACATTTCTAGATTAAAAGACCTTAAAGCTTCAATCAAAGATTCTTTCCCAAACAGATTTATAATGAAAATGCCCCCCCTATTAGTTTAGATAACTATAAAGGATTCAGAATTAATGGTTTTATTTCCCAAATATTTTCTAATTTCTGAAATAGTTTTGTTGTAAGATTTGTAATGAAAAACAAATTTACACCCTGATTATAAAATTAATTTTGTCAAAGTTACCTTTTGAATGCGAAAAATTTAAAAAACAAATGAAAGTTTTTACACAAAAAAAGCTGGGTAGTACTTTTCAGTAAATTTGAAATTCATAATCATTTTTATTAATAAATCTTATTGTTTACAGTTTTCTTTTTTTAAATTTTCTAAAGTTTAATAGCTCAGTTTTGGTAATATGTGATGAGTCAGGTTTAAAAAGAGATAACTCATTTTTATCAGCTCTACATTGTTAATGTCTAAACAGTATTATTTTTCAATAATGAAAAATTTATGCATTTAAAAAAAAACAAAAAAAAAAAAAAAAAAAACAAACAAAAAAAAAAAAAAAAAAAAACAAAAAAAAAACAAAAAACAAACAAACATTTGATTTGTTATTTTGAGAAATAACACATTTTCAGTTAAGTATACCATTATAAATTAGTAAAATTTGTTATGAAAGAACATTTGGGATATGAACAAAATGTCAAAATTTTTAACATTTATGTGAAGTATGCATTGCCCACTTAGAAGATTGTACTAAAACGCGAGAACAGAAAAAAAGTCTCAATGAGAATCCAATGGCTTTTAGCTGTTCAAGGTTTTGTCAAGGGAAGAGAATATCAAAACTAAAACCAAGCTCGGTTTCCTTATAAGATTTTTGGTTTCTACAATTTCAGCTAAAGAAAATTTACCAAGTTATAAAATAGGAAGTTTGAGGAAATTTGTAAAAATTGAACTTACTTCCATGGAAATATGACAAGCCTTGTTATAAACCAGATAGTAGCAAAACCAACAAATAATGTGTCGCACAAGTTTTGCTTGCCACAGTATTTAGCCATCTTTGCTGACTGGAATGAGAAGAGAAACTATTAAATATATGAAAATTTTATGCAAATAAAAATTATCAGAATTAAAAAAAGTTTGCAGAAAGAATTTAAGATGATAAAACAAAATGGATGTGCTATCAATTTCGTTTACAAAAGTTGAATATTCAAGTTTCACTATATTTTGGTACAAGGAAAGAATTATGATTACGTTCACAATAGCAAAGTTTAGAGAATATGGCTTGGATCTGACAGACCAAAAAGAGGAAGAGCAAGAAAGCTACAGGAAAGCTCTTTTTGCAGGACAATGTATCAAGTCTTAACTTGATATTTTGAGGAATTGGCAGTTTAATTGCATATATACCATCTATTCAATTCACAAAATTTCAATCCAGCTGACCATCTAGCAGCAGAATTATAGTTTTGGAAAGGTCAAAAGAAACCTTAGGAATTATATACCAAATGTGAAGTCAAATATGCATTGGGCAAGAAGTAATATTAACCTTTTATTGCCCATTGTTCTACTAGGGGAACACATTTTAAAGGATATGTCCAGGAACTAAAGGGTTAAAAGCAATGTTACATCAGAATAAATTCCAAGATTGAATGGAACAAATTTTTAATTGCTTCTTATTGGAAATTGAAAATAATCAGAAATAGGCTATTTTAAATTTAAAGATTAACATTTGTGTCAATAATTACTTCTAACACCATCTTAAAACTATTAGATTTTCATATATATATATATATATATATATATCAAAAGAAACAAAAAGCAAATATGTAGGGGTACAAGATGTTACAATCACACATGTTATAGACAAAGTTGTCAATGAGCAAATTGTTGGCTACTCCTTTTAAAGAGTCAAGTAGTGTTAACATCTGTTGACAATTTGGGGCTTCCAGACATGCCAAATTAATGACACTATAAATCTAGACAGGATTAATTCAAGATTCAAACAATAACATTTTACAAATTTTGAAGTTATTCATGCATTTTGTGTTATCCAAACAAAATTGAAGTAAAATTATTACACTATCAAAATTTAAAGTCATACTATTTGTCTATAGAAGTATGATAAACTCTAAAAAGAAAACTTACTTCTACAATAGGGTCAATTGTATCATGAATTACAAGCACCAGTGTTCCAATACGAATCATGTTCTGGATCCAGGAGAATGTTAACAGCAATATAGTTATTATATGATGAATAAACAGTTCCCAGAAATCCTTAAAATAAAAATAATAGAAAAATAATAAAAAATTGAATAAGTCTTTACACTGAAATTCATTTAACTGAGAAATTTATTTTTATTAATTAGGACTTAAATTCTATAAATATTGACTATTAAAAAAAAAAAAAAAAAAAAAAAAAAGTATTAATTGAGATTTAGAATTAACTGTCTATACATGACAATGCCACCTTCAGCATAAGTTACTGTGGACAAATTCAATTTTCATAAGTTCAAAAACTGTCTAGCTCAAGTGTTTCAGATACCTCATGTTATGGCAGCAAAAACAATATGAAAAGTTTAAAAAAAAAAAAAATAAAAAAATAAAATAAAGTTTTAGAAAAATAGACTTTACAACACAAGTAAAGTTTAATAGGAAATATATGAAAGTTAAAATACAGTTAGAAAGTAAGAGAAAATTGTATCATCCCATAGTGAAGTTTCATTTGGAGGGGAGGGAGGGGGAGAGAGAGAGAGGAAAAAAAAAAAAGAGGATCAAGATTAAATATTACTGTTCATATAGAATACTAGCTGCCCACATCTAGTTTGCAGAGTAGAACACCTTAAAAATTGTTCTCTCCTTTCAAAAGATTTGCAAAAAAAAAAAAAAAAACCTTAATTAGTTCATTCTAGCAAGAAGCCTAGCTGGTAATACCATTTCTATCAAAGTTAAAGTGCACTGTCCATTTCAGCTCAGTAGTTGTATATTTGAAAATTTAAATTGGTTATCATAACCTTGTATCAGACAGACTTCAGTTGTTATAGCAAGGAAAGGAAGCAGCCAAACATGAGACTCAAAGATCAAGTACAGAGACTGGAAACAATTCAAGCTAATAAGAAAAGCTTGTAGATACTTTTATGACTTAGATATTAAAACTATTCAGACTCTACAAAAGAGCCATTCAACAATGAATAGAGCTCATTCGATTTCCTTCTGAATGAAAATAACATTTGTATGGTTATTTAAAAAAAGCCTTCATTAAATGTTCAAACACTAATTTAGATGTCAAGTTTTTTTGTTTTTTTTTTTAGATGAAGAATTATCTACCTTGATGTTCACACTAAGCTCATCTTGGTTGATATACTCATAATATATTTGATTACCAGGCAGTTGAGAGATCAATTTCTGGGTCTGGTAGTCCTGAAAAGTTACATACATTCAGTGGAAGAAATAGACAAACAACTAAAGGTGACTAAGATGGGTGTGTATTGATCGATATAAAATATCCCCCAAGCATGGAAAGTGGAATGAGAATCCACCCAGTTGAGCAAATAAAGAATTTGGTTCAAAATTATGAGACAGTTACCAAATATGAAGATGGCAAAAAACCTGAAGGTTAAATAGTAGAATACTTAAGATAAGCATACAGGTTTGAAAAAAAAAAAAAAAAAAAAAAAAAAATACTAATTACACTTCTTTACATTTGTTGAGAGTTACTGAAAATCTGGCTATGAAGAAGCTAGAGGTTTCATAATTAGAAAATTAATATTGAATAAAGCCAAGCACAGTGAGAATATTTAAATAGTGTGAGGTCAATCACATTTAATGTTACTTTAGTGATCAAGTATAAAGATGATCTTTCATGATCTTTCTTTGCAAGCCTAAAATCTTTCAAATGGTAAGCAGACGTCCAAAACTTTTTTTTTTACAATTTAACAGAGAGGATTACAGCCATATCATGTCAAAACACCCAACTTAAACAATGCCAAGCCTGGTTAGTACATAATTAGGTGACTACTTGGTAATACCAGGTGGTGTAAGGTTGGATGTGCTGGTAGTGTAATGAATAATGGCTTGGAATTGGAAAGCAGAGTTCTAATTCCAGTCACATGAACAAATACCCTTGCAAAAGATATGAATCCACATCTTTCCTACCAGCCATGGGTTAATAGGACATGTATCAGTAAATTATTATTGCCAAAGAAATTCTTACATTCTAAAAATATTTTCTGTCTAACCTGCAAAAGGTTGATAAGCTACATAAAACAACTACACAACACAGAGAAACAAATCAAAGCGAGACGTCCAATTCTCTTGAAAAACTTAAGATCAATACAAATGCTTATTTATACAATTTTACTGTTTCTAATATTTTGTTTTGAGGTAGGTTTTATCTATTTAGTTTGCTATAAGAGAGCAGAACAGTTTGTTCAACCCACTTCCCAAAAATCAAAATATCACTGTAGTTGAAAAGAGTTTTTTATATTGCAAAGAACTAAATCTTCAGGATCATTGCATGTATTTTCAGCATTCAGCAGCTTGTAAGTACTTGAGTAAATAATACTAACTTTATTAAATGTTATTACATTTAGCAATTTAGCATTTAAAGAAAAAAAAAAAAAGAAAAAAAAAAGAAAACTTCAATGGTAAGGAAAAAAAAAAAAAAAAAAAAAAAAAAAAAAAAAAAAAAAAAAAAAAAAAAAACCAAGCTAAAAACTTAAATATATATTTGCCTAGAGTAAGAATACAATTTTATAAAAGATAAAAAACTAGTTTTATTAAACTTACCTTTCTCCGCACATCAGAGAAATGAAGAACTAAGCTGGATAGATAGAAACCAAGTTCAATGATGTAAAACCAGTAAATATCATTAGAAACATGCTGAAGAGAAAAAAAAAAATATTTTGAAAGAGGTAGATTATGTATAGATAACAGATTCTGTTTTAAGTATCAACTGTTTTGAAAAATAGATAATCTTTGCTTCATGACAAAACTAATGTTTAGAGGATCAAATTTTCTGTTATGAAAAATAAGTTTTTATTTTTTCTAGTTGAAAAGCAACAAGTTTTATTAACCAAAACAAAATAAGAAACTTTTTTAGTATGATATTTTTTGCATATTACAAGTTTTTTTTTCCATTTTAGTCATTCAACTATCCAGACAGCAATTCTAAGACATTATATATGCAGGGTTCTCATCCCCTTAAAATTAAAAAATAATGCCAAGTAATTCTCCAAAGTATTAACAAAAAAAAAAAAATAAATAAATAAATAAATTAATAAATAACAAAAAAAATAAATACTGCTCCAACCAAATTCAATTAGCACAATTTAAAATTTATAAAATAATTTTTAAAAGTACCAAATTTAAATTAAAACAAGTTCTTTTCCTTTGATTGTTTCCAGTGTTTGAAGGTGATAGCAAGCTAATAGTTTAACTATGACATTTTGTCTACAACTTTTTACCTACAAAAGTGCTAAAGTAAGCAGGCATACACACATTTTGCACATGTTCAGTCTTCAGGTTAACTATTTAATAGGTCTTTTTTTATAAAATTTATACCAACACAGAAAACATGGTATTATTAGCTTTTTGGCAAAATTATGTACAAATAATTGGGAAAAGTTTAATTAAACATATATTGACATTAATAATTCTAAAAAATTATATTCAATTTAAAAAAAATAAAAAAATAAAAAAAATTAAATAAAATACTGGGGCTTTGGAAGGTGTTGCAAATAACAGTCTACATGTGAAGATTTACAGCTCCAGGTATATAAATTTCTAGTATTGTGGCAGTTAAAGATGAAGAAATGTATTTTTGGTAAATAGATGAGATCTATTTTGATTTCATCATATTCATTATTATGGTAGGATTCAGAGAGTTCAGCTTTCTCTTCCAACCCAAATTTTCAGCCGTTAAACATGATTTTAGCACATCGACATTTTGCAGTTCTAAAGCCATTTCACTCTCACCTTCAATGACTGTAGACTTACATAGTAAGTAAATAGATTCCATGAAATATGGCCATTAGCTCCATGATAAAAAAGTCCCAAACTATCATTTCTTATTTTCTTTATACTTCAGAAATGTGAAAAACTCTTCAAGTGAGGAACCCATAAAATAAATTTTTGAAAATAAATTTATAGTCTATCACCCTGACTAAATGTCTCAAGTTCAAAGAATTTAATTTTCTATGATTAATTTTAGAAAACCCAAATCTACCAACCAATTAGTCATAAATGGTCAAAGAACACTGATTATGTATGCAAATAGTAACACTATAGTACACAAAAGATCTTCATGTATAATGCAGTGGCAAGATATAAAATTGTGAAAGGTTTCATCTTTGTTGCAGAGGGCAATAAATACTTTCTAACCTTCCAGCATTGCTAGGTTAGTGAGTGATCAGAGTTCATAACTTAAAAGCAATATAAATATCAAGATTTATAATTTAATATTTTGTTAAATTATGAAAACATTACTTAATTTAAGATTCTGAAGTCTTTACACTAATATACTGGTAATCTAAACAGTGATTATATAAATCTTTACTAAAAGATTTTATGGTCATATTAGAACATACAATAAAAAGTTAAGTGAAGGGACCATGTAAATATAATTTTATATAGTTATATGAAAAAAAGTTTACCAACACCAACTTTTCCTGGGAAACAAAATTCTTCATAGCATATTCAAAATTCCATTAAAATAGCCAATGTGATTCACAATCCAAGATCATTCTGCCAATTAAAACTCAAATTCTGTGATGAAATACTTAACATTTTAAATTTAAAAACCAAAATTATTAAAAAAAAAAAAAAAATCTCATATTCCAAGTGTAAATTTTCATATTTTATAATAAAGTTTGTTCTAAAAAAAAAAAAAAAAAAAAAAAAAATCCATTATTTAATAAACACAACCTAAGTTATAATTGCTCGTGTAGGCATCCATTGATCATGCGAGATAATGGTTGTATCCCACTTGACTAAAAATCTGTCCTTTTGTACTCACACCAGGTGGTGAAACTGGAGTAACCTCTCCAGGGCACAGGCAATGAGATAAGAAGGCCACACACTAGACTACATGCCCCCACCCCCAACACACAATCCAAAGGAATACAGAGAATTATATTTGGTGCTGGCTTGGCCACAGGAGAACGTTGTCTTGACAGCCAACCACCTTTGGTGGGTTCCACTTTGGATATTTTGTCCAAATTTACTTCCATTGCCTTTTCTGTATTTGGATTGCCTGAAGCAACTGATTATGAGGCCCAGTAGCCTGCCTTCATGCAGGACTTAGTTGTCAGAGGCCATTTGAGACATGGCATGGGAGCTTGTCCTCACTACTACACCTGGCTATGACAACTGTTGGAACATGTATAATGTACATATATAAATATTACGTATTTTTTAGGAGCTACTCACAAAAAAAAAAAAAAAAAAAAAAAAAAAAAAAAAAAGTTTATGCACACACACATATATATATATATATATATATATATAAAAATGGCAACTCTAGGTCAATATATTTGCCAGGCTCATTACAAAATATACTATTGATATAACATAGATGCTAAAATGATTACTCTAAAATATCATTTTTAAAAGTCTCTGTGCATAATAAAAAAACATTTTAATATTACCTGTAATAATTTTATTAAAATAAACCTTTATTATAAAATATTTTCCAGACATGAAAAACATACATATCTATCTAGAGAGTGTGTTTGTATGCTTTCGTGTTATATATGTCTGAATTTTTAGTTTAATTTATTGTATGTTTATGATCAGTACTGCTGATATCACATTTCCTCAACACTATCCCAGTTACACTCACTCTAACCCTCCAGTTGATGAGTTAAGGCTGCCACTTTCTTTGATTTTTGCCAACTTTAAATCAAGCTAAATTTTTTTTTCAATTTATACATTTCACTAAAAAAAAAAAAAAAAAAAAACAACATACTGTACAGAATAAATTACTTAAAGTGGACATTTGAAAGCAATAAGTTGAAGTAAAAATGTGTTTTTTGAAAAATAGGGTATACATGTAATTAGAGATTTTTAAAAGATTTATAAAATTAAAGCAAGAAATACATTGGCTATTAAGTATGTCTTCATCGTGAAAGGGCTCAGATCTACACACCCTGACTAGCCATTTCATTTTTTTTGTTTTTTTTTTCCTTTCTATCTTATGAACAGTATCAATGAAATTTATTTTGGTCAATATTGAAGCACTGAGTTAAAACAATTTTGGATCCAGCTGAAGTCAAGAATGAAAACACACTACAAAAGATTTTTGCAGTCTGGGAGTTGCCACTGAGAGATTTTATATATATATATATATATATACACACACACACACACACACACACACACACACACACACACAACAGAGACAGAAAAAAACAATGAGAGAGAGAGCGAAAAAAAAAAAACGAGAGAGAGCGAAAAAACGAGACAGAGAGCGAAAAAACGAGACAGAGAACGAAAAAACGAGACAGAGAGCGAAAAAACGAGAGAGAGAGCGAAAAAACGAGAGAGAGAGCGAAAAAAAGAGAGAGAGAGAGAGAAAAAACGAGAGAGAGAGAGAAAAAAACGAGAGAGAGAGAGAAAAAAAACGAGAGAGAAACGAGAGAAAAAAAAACGAGAGAGAAAAAAAACGAGAGAGAAAAAAAACGAGAGAGAAAAAAAACGAGAGAGAAAAAAAAAGAGAGAGAAAAAAAAAGAGAGAAAAAAAAAAAAAAAAGAGAAAGAAAAAAGAGAAAAAAAAAAGAGAAAAAAACGAGAGAAAAAAAAAGAGAGAAAAAAAACAAACGAGAGAGAAAAAAGAGAGAAAAAAAAACAAACGAAAAAAAGAGAGAAAAAAAACGAAAAAAGAGAGAAAAAAAAAAACGAAAAAAGAGAGAAAAAAAAAAAAAAAACGAGAGAAAAAAAACGAGAGAGAGAGAAAAAAAAAAAACGAGGGAGAGAAAAAAAAACGAGAGTAAATTGCTTTTACAACTTTAAGTGTGCCAGGCTTATTCAATTTTAAACGGACAACTTTTTGCAGAAAAATATTTTCAAATAAAGTAACTAAATAACTAAATTTTAATTAGGACTTATTAATTATCACTGCAAAAAGTGATTGGGTATAAAATGCCTTTAGGAAATTTAAATAATTATGACTTACATGGTGAGGATATCCTTCCCAGCAGTTAACAGGTTTCCACAGCCAGATTTTCTACAAATGTACCAAGATCACTTATCAATTTTCAAAAGAAATATGGTTTTGTGAGGAAAGGAAGGCAGTTACATTCCCCCCCACCCCACCTTATTCTTAAGACACTTGTTAATTCAGAAAATATATCTTTGCCGATACAAATTTTAAGGTTTTATTGGATAAGAGTATAAACAGAACAACTGGCTAAAATTAAAAGTTGGATAATAAAAATTTGAAGCATACCAGAGTACCAATTATCTTAAAACTTACATCAAATAGCATTACTATTCCATACGTGAATATGGTTGAATAGAATGTACAGCGCCAACTGCAAAACAAAAATTTTAGTAAATAAGGAACAAATTCAAAAATTAATGTCACAGACAATAATATTACAAACAAGTCTGAATTTCTTTGCTTCAGAAACTGGAATTAGAGTATTTTAAAAGATTAAGTTTTATTGCGCAGAACAAGTTTTACAAGTATGAATACATTCAAGCCTTTTGATGAAAGGCTTAAAGTTTCTATATACCACAATCAACAAATGATATTTCATACAAACTTAAGATTCCAAAGCATATTTTGGATTAAATATTCAGAATCTACACACACAAATACACACAGTTGGTGAAAGGCTAAAATTTAAAATACAATCATTCAGAAAACTTCAAATCTGCTTACCCAGACTCTGCAAACTTTTTAAGGACACTAGCTTTGTCTTGATTTCGTCTGATTCTAAACCAACGTTCCACTTGGCGAATACTCAAGTCAGTCTGTTTGGCAAGGCCCTGTAAAAAAAAATTGAAAAATGACAGCTGATAACACTTAAATTACAGCAAGTGTGTTCAAGGTTTTATACGGGTAATTCATAAATAATATCTTAACACCTCACCTTTAATTTTAACAGACCCCTTCTTTATTATGAAGTAAGTGTAAATTGCTTGGGAATTCAAGAAGCCTGTCAGGTAAAACTAAATTCAGAAATCTTCAGATGTTACCCAATTGTTAATGAGAACAAGTCACCCAAAAACACAATCTGACTTCTGTTTGCTTTCATCTATGTATTTAAGTGACATAATAGCAGGTTAACCCTGGTTCAGTATTTTATTGCATGAGAATGCTTAATGACAATTTGAAGCAAAAAATGAGGAAATAATCTATTCAGGATAGAATCCTCTGTGTCATGAATGGTGATAATTTAGTTAGTGGTACCTCCTTTCTAAGTTCTAATATTATGAATCTAGGAAAGGTACCTCAGCGTGTTCTTTGACTCCACGCGAGATCTTTCTCACTTTGGTTTTTCTTTCAGTTTTCATATAATGAAATTGTTTCACTAACTGTACTCCCCACGGAGCCCTACAAGGGAAAATGCCAAGGGGGAAGCCCATTCACCTTGGCAGATCAGGGCGGCACAGTATACTCACACCATAACAAGACAATAATTGTGTAACTTCCTAAGTTTCAGTTTTCAAGTTGAATTTTGTTTCAACTATCTATTCCTGAGCCAGAAGTTACTTCCTAGCATGATTGACCCATACAGCTACCACTTCTGATTCAGCTTTTTCCAGAGTTTGCAAGAATCTAAATCAGGGTTTGGCATGACTAGCTAGTTGATCAGATTGATCCTCTGACCACCCATCTAGCCCAGGCAAAGGCCAAAGTGATGCGTTAGGGGTCCCAGAGTTAAAACATTCCTACTGAAGCCCTCATCAACAGGATCCCACCCCCAGACATCACAGGTCAACACCCATGGCCTCCTTTTGGGGTTTTATCCCTCTGCAGAAGTTGTCAGTATATTCTGAAGCCCCAGCCAACAGGGCAGATTAAGAGACTTGAGGCAACAGATATATGATTTAACAGAAGGATGTTGTGAATACCATGGATGAAATATGTGAGCAAAGTGAGCTTGGAGAATTTGACCCTCACAGGATATATTGAATACAAGGATACAAACAGGAAGTAACCTACCTTATGAGCAGTGTAAATGGATGGAAGAACAAGGACTGGGAGGGATGGTAAGACTAACTGCTTAGAGTTACAAAGGATAGGAAATTGTGTGGTGTCACAGTTGGCCACAGCACATAAGAACCCTAACTGAATAAAAAGTGTTCATTTTTTTTTTTTTTTTAAAGAAATCATTTAGATTAAAAACTTAAACTGACACAATGTCACTAGAAAGGCTGCTTAGCAAAGAGAGACCAAACCAACATGAGTTACTTGTCCTAGCAGCTGGAAAAGGGCTTTTGTTTTTTTTACTAATATGAAGGTTCCTATCATACACACCTTTTAGAGGATAAGCAATAAACCAGAAAAACTATTCTTTTCCACATGTAAATTAACATAGAAGTAAGATACTTATTTAACTTTTATTTGGTTCAAGGTGATACCTTGAGGTATTGTCTTGATTTGATTTTATTCTATATTTTAAGACAGGACATTCCTATCAGTTTGCTGTTGCTAGGCCAACTGATAATTAGTAATATTCACAATTAGATAAACAGTAAGAAATTGAGCATTTATTAGAAAATTCCAATAATTAAAGTATATTGGAGATGTGATTAATAATGTTGGCAATATTTGTGAGGTTGCTTGACAATAGCAGTCATTAATACAGGTTAAAGATCCAGAATAAGACCTTTCAGTACATATACAGACCAGCAACAAAGAATATTTGCAAGAGATGAGATGATAGTTGCCATAGTAATGAGGTTTAGTAATGTGGCTCATTTCTATAAGTCAATCAATAACATGAGTTGCATCTCTCATTGGGAATAAAAGCTGCATTCCCAAAGCTTGACAAAAATACTGAAAGCATAAATATTGCAACATCAAATCATTTCATTAAGGAAGAAAGAGAAAAAAAAAAAATGAAAAAAATTTAGTCATCAGCCAGAATAGATCTGTAATTCAATATAATCTGCTTTTCCTAAAATCAAGAAATTACATGGAAATATATTGTGCACACAGTTTTCTGTAGTTTGAAAACTAGTTAAACAGTTTTAGAATATCAACTTTAGATGTCAGTTGCCTTATTTGGTCAACCATAAAGCTGTCCTTTTACTGTATTCAGATAAAGAGTTGGTTTTAACAGAAAAAGACTGTTTTAAAATAACACTGTAGTGTTTTACAGTATATACTAATAGATAAGTCAGTTCCTTTGTTTAGAATCTGTTTCAGTTACCACCTTACATGAAAGTCACAGGCTGTCTTTGTAACATCTGCTACTAATCCAGGAGGATATCCTGCTCCGTGTATCCAAAAATAAATACTTAAACTATTTATGTGAGAGTGCTTAAAAGTTCTCAGCTCAATCTCATTTCAAAATTTGACCAAGATTTTAAAATTCTTTCTTAGTTGGCCCAATAATTTTTCCACACTCCCATTTATAACTAACCAAGAACTAATTTTTTTTAACATGTTTGTACAAGGATTCACTGTGAAACAACTCATAAATATGACAGTTTTAAAGTAGTCAGAAAATGCATGTCTAGACATTCCTGTATAACTAGCAAGCACAGTTGGTTATTTAACTTTATATAGTGGTAAATGTTCTGATACTTTGACATTCATTGCTATTTCAATCAATACAGTATTGCATCATGACATTTTAAGCACTTAAATCCAAGAAAGACCTCAAATATTTTAAGTTTTGAGAAATCATACAATTTATATATTTTATTAATCTTTATATTTCTCCTGATCAATTCGACAGCCTTCCCAACAAGCACAGTATATGTAGAGGCATAGTTGGAAGATGATTCTATCAACAAGAAATGTCCAATTCCAAATCCCAATAAAAAGACAAAAATATAAATTAAAAATATTAGAATACCTCCTGCAAAAGAAAAGGAAAGTGTATTAAGAAAAACTTGACAAATGTGAATCTGGTAATTACAAGAAAGAAGTCTTGGCTATAGAGATCTTTCAGAAAAAAAATAGAAGTTCAGAGTGAAAACAGTTATGTCCTAGCATGTTACTATATACATATAGCCCTATGATAAATATATTCTATTAAAACAGACTAGTAGTACTCATTAAAATTGCATGGTTTTCCTGTTTTAATTTTCTGATGTCTCATCTATTTCACTGAACACACAAGTTATCTATCTTCCCTTGCTTTTTCTCACTGAAACTAAACAGCTTCTGATATGTATTTTCTATTTTTCCTTGCTAAAAAGTGAATAGTCCATTTATGAGGTATTGGTAGGGCTTAACATATGTACTAACTTAAGGAACAAGCACATTTATATGATAAACTGCCAAGACCCAGCATGTCATTCTCAAAGTGATTTCTTTTTAGCTAAATTATTAAAGTCAGCCAATATTTCACCAATGTACCAACAATTCAACTTGATATATATTGTCATTATGTGTGAGTACTCAATATATCAATACCTCTCTCTGGTATCAACAAAAAGGTCTACATGCATTTTTAAAAACTAGTCCATTAAAACATTTGATAATACTTTCATACTATGTACCACACCAGTAAAAGTTTTGTTCAGTCCAGTTAATTCATTTAGACAACATATACAGTTCATGAGAAAAAGAACACAGTTTTAATTCATTGAGGGTGATTTTATCTTTTTACAAATGGGTAGTCTAACATGTACGAGTTATAACTGGATTCTGGCTCAAGCTACAAATATGAATTAGTAGATTGTAGAAGACCTTGAATGATATGCATGTACAACTTTTATAACTTCAAATAGTATTATCCTGCAAATCCCAATTGCCACCCACCCATAGCATTGGAATTACCACTGTATTTTATCATTTTATTGGGTATACACTTCCACCTATCTTTTACAAATCATAGAGCAATTGCTAAACCAGGGCATTTCACATCATCCCATTTCATTAGTTCTTGTATTCCAGATAGTGTCAATAGTATCATAATCAGACATTTTGAAGTAAAATGAACTGCATTCTCTAAAAGATAGCTGCTCATTTGTAGAAGATGTTCATGTGAATAGAACTGATCTTATACAATACTGCCTAAAGGAGAGATTCTGATACTTTAAACAGTCATAGTTATAACTTTTGGCTATACTTGAGTACCATTTTCTATTATTGTTTTTTTTTCATATAGTATAATTCTCTAAAAGTCTACACTAGCACTCCTTTGTAGGCATAATCATCCCCCTTATCCACATTGCTAAAGATTTATATGCACAAAGATTGTACATTTAGTAATCAAGTAAATATATTTGTTAAACTTATTTACATCAGAGTTTTTATCAATATGTTTCGTTTCTGTTTATCAATCTAGGATATCATACAATAGAATCTGAATAATATTGTATTTAGTGTAGTCATGGATAGTAATAATATTTATCAGTCACATTGGTAAAGTATTGATCTGAATAAAAATCAAATATCTTTCTCCAGTTTCTTTTGAAGAGGGAGAAATAGTATCTAACATTGTATTGTTTTCAGTCAGTATTTATCATCCCCACAATGGCAAATGCTGCACATGATTAGGCCAAATAATAAGGTCACATTGGCATTTTCCATTGATCCCACCTCTCAATAAGATGATGCTGTGTAGAGCCAAGGCAAACCTCCAATCCCAAAATGTATTTTAGCCTATATTGTTTAGAAGCAGGCTAAATTTTTAGTCTTTCAATTTTTCAGCCAAACTCAAGCGTACCATGCCCAACCATATATTCAACAAGTTAAATCCAATCACATCACTTGTATTTAATATCAGTTTTCATATTTTTAACAATTTAGAACCAAGTGATTTCAAATTTCGTCCTGGAATAACTGAGGAGATTTATCTCAGGTCACATTGACATATCCTGTAATTACATATACTGCACTGAAAACAATACAATTTAATCTTTCTACATTGATAATCTATTTTCCAAAAATTCATCTCAAAAACCTTTGAGCCTGCAGTTTTGAATGATAAAATCTTTTTTAGTGAGATTTATCAGTTTTTATGAAATAAAATGACTTATAAGACTAAAAAAAAAAAAAAAAAAAAAAAAAACACTGGATGAAATTCGATATTTCAAAAATAAAATGCTATTGTACAATTTGGGAGGGGGGGGGGTTCAAATTTGCATATTTAAAAGTACCACAAATTTAAAATTAAGTGAAGAGTTCAAATTTTATGAACATTAATAGTACCATAAAAAAAAAAACAAAGCTAATTCAGAAGAAATCTTAAAACAATACTAGACATTTGAAGAGGGATACTCCAAGCAGAATAACAAGAGAAAATAGGTAATGTTACAAAATATCTGAGAACAATAACTGATGCAGAGATTCACCCCTCAAGTTAAAAGTTGGTATAACAGAGTCCAGGTGTCAGAGTTGCCAAATAGGACAAATATATCAAATAATTTCTAATTCAAAATGAGCTTTTAAAACAATGAACAGCAAGAGGAGGTAGATGATACTTCAAGAACATAAAAGATTGACACTGAAAGAACATGAGAGAAAAGGAGTAAAGATCAGGGAAGGAAAAAAAAAAAAAAAAAAAAAAATTATATATATATATATATATATATATATATATATATATATATATATATACACACACACACACACGGTGATATCACAGGGACTGTGATTTAAAATATCAATAGCAGTCCCTCTGGCAGCTACCATTATCTGGCACTGCTGCTCATTTTGCAAAAAATAAGTGACAACAGCTTCATTTCTATGCCAGGTTATATTTCTCTTATGTACTATTGTAATATCCACAACAGAAATATGAAAACTCACATTCAATGCACTGAAACAAATGTAACAGCTTCACGTCGTTTCTGTCCCTCTTTTATTTTCCTCTACATATTCACTACAGATTTTGGAGAAGACTAAAGTGGAAGTAACACTATAAAGTTTTTCTTCATATAAGCTTTGCCAACAACTGTTAAATTCCACTCCCGCCACAATCAAGAGAGGTGGAGAGTGCCTTATTCTCTTTCTGGTGCCCTAACTACATGAATTTAAGTGTGCTATTAAATTGACATCTGTGTCCCACTGTTATTGTTGAAATAGTTAAATGTAACTGACACTTCTACTCCAACAGTTTCTCTCACATTTCCTGACAGTGGAACTCCATTTATTTGCTTCCTTGAAAATTACAATCTTCAAAAATTTAAATGCAACATCAATCACCATCTTCTGTTCTGAACCTTGAACCCCATTCAACTTTCATCCTTTACTCAATCCCCTCTATATCCAGTCTTTTCTCTCACTTTCACTGTAACCCCCCTGTGTACTAGTGTCATTCCTGTCTTGCTTTGGGTGAAATGATTAAGGAAAAAAAAAAAAAAAAAAAAAAAAAAAAAAAAGGGACTTACACCCCTCCTTACTATTAAAAAAAAAAAAAAAAAAAAAAAAAAAAAAAATGAAGGTTTTGTCTTAAGAATAAACATTGTCAAGTAAAAAAAACAGAAACTTGGAATATTATTTAGCATATAGTTCAATGATACCAAGACCTTTATAAACCTGTTAAAAAAAAAATCTCAAAAATCAACAGATGTGCCATCATTCTTAGAGAATAGGAGACTAAAAATAGATGGTTTGAATACAAATAAAAGCATGGTAATAAGTTGGTGGGGGGAGATAAACCTGATTAAATGAAAAAAAAATTATATCGCAAAGAACTTGATTTAAAGATATTTGAGTACTTAGAATTACAATAAGATTTAAGGTGCACTGTATACATATGCTGCTTGTAAGAGATAATTTATTTCAATATAGCACAACTATCAGAGACTGATTTCTGCCAAAGTTACCTTTGTACTGAGAAAAATATTTACATAAAGAAACATTTCAGACATGAAGTGTAACATGACACTAGGCAGGTATTCAAAAATGAATTCAACATTTTTAAGATTGGGCTTTTCCTTAAAAATTTGATGAGCAAAATGATAGCAAGTAAAAATTAAAGATTTACCTGGACAAGTCCATTGCATGGTCGTTTATTTAACCTATAGGCATTTTCCAAAGCTTTGTAGTAGATAGCACGCGTATATTTCTCTTCTTTCAGCCCAAGATTCTTACCAAGTGGACAGAAGACATATCTGAAAAAGAAAAAATATTAAAAAATTGAAGATATTTCAAATTGCAAATATTGGCAGTCATTAGTAAGATATTAATTTTTAACCATCCATTCCAAAAAGTTTTCACGGGTCAAAGGAGTAATTTCATGATTGCAAAAGTTATCACTTTTTATTGCTATGTATTCTAAATACAAATTAGAATTAGCTATAAAAGCAATCTTAGATTAATTTTTTTCATTTTGTGCTTGCTTAAAATGCATTATAAAAGATAAGTTTTTTCTTATTTAAAATAAAAAAAAATTCAATATTATCAAAAATTAATCAGTAATACATCTAGTCAGTAATTTTTTTAAAAATTAAGTGTATTACGAGTTTTTACAATGTGATTTCAATTTCTTGCCTATATTTACTAAAAAGACATTAGTTCAGATGAAATTACTGCATTTTAATAATTTGTTATAGTAACAATATGCAAGTTAGCTTTAGACATGACAGCAATGAGTATAATAAAAGAAAAAAAATGAGTTGAATTAATGAGATGTACAACTGATAAAAACACAGATAAGAATATCTATTTAAAATTGTACAACTACATGTGAATAAAAAAAAACAAAAAAACTCACACACACAAACTAACCAAGAGTGGACACACTTAAGATATGCCTGATTGGTCAAATTTTGACTATATTGATAGGTTATCTATGAAAAAGTTGGAAAGAAAGTTTAGGTTTGGCAGATACTACATGTGATATTTGTTTGGCAATGTAAGCCACTATTTTCTTCACATGCCTTCAAGATAGCCTTGAATTTGGGCTGATCAACCAACAGACTCACTTTTAGTTCACTGCTTGGCTTACTGAATGAGTTTCATGACATTGGTTACACAGAGAGGTCTTATATGCCTCTCCATGCAGACCAGCATGCTCATCTTAGTTGTTCCATTTACATTTTAGCTGTGGTAGCCTCTAATTCTTCTGCTTTCCATGCTCAGAAGAAATCTGACTACTATCCAAGCTTTTTGTCAGTCATCCATTTCCATTATTGAAAAGTATTTGTCTAAAAGACATTGCCTAATGAATAAAACATTGGTTAAAACCAATGATTTAATCCAGCAGTCATGTATTCAATTTCTAGTTCAGAGAATGCAGAAAAGTTATACTCTATTTCACTGAGGGAAAAAAAAAAAAAAAAAAAAAAAAAAAAAAAAAAGCCCCACCCCATTTTGCTATTAATCACAAGACCCAGTTTACAGTAATTGGGAGCAATTAAGCAGTTTTAGCCAAATTATACTCAACAGCTAATTGTATTAACCCTTGGATAGATATAATGCATGTTGACCCAGTAACCAAGGGTAGGCCAAAGATTAGTAAATATCCCTTTGTAACCAAAGCATATCTTATATTGTCCTTCACCATTTTTTTTTTGTACTTAATTGTTAAAAAAAAAAAAAAAAAAAAAAAAAAAAAAAAAAAAAACAGTCTACCATTCACTGCTGTTCCAGCTTCTTGCCAATAGCTTGAATTAATAGAAGTGTTGACAACAATGAATAAAAAATATATTTTCACACTATCAACAATGATGGTCTCAACAATCAAGATTCATACTTTGACATCAATCAACTTATTTAAAATATTTAAAACATCTCTGCTAAAAATCACCATGAATAATTTTACACTTTTTTGAATGTAAAATTATTCATGCTCAGTAGAGTAACTTTAAGAATTGTGCTCTAAGCATCCATTTCCCATAGAAAGAATATTAGCACATTCCAAGTATCCACAATTGGAAAAGTGGTAAAGTTTTTATTAAAGAAAAAAAAATATAATTGCTAAACTCTTATCCATTTCTTTATTGGACTTGACATTCTTGCTCATGATGGAAAGCAATACTTCTTGTCTCTTACTTTGAATGCCTTTTAACAGTATGCATTTTATGCCCAATAACGAAACTGAATAAATATTTTTGAATCTACTTAGCAATATCACTTGAAATTAATGTATAAACATATTCAAAATACCATTAACATTTTTTTCTTTTTAAACAAATAGACAAAAATGAATAGAGAGACCAGAGGAAAACTATACTTAGCAGACATGTTTCGTCCTCAGAGGGACTTTGTCAAGGTAATATAGGATTTATATTGCATATGTTTATGTACAGAGATGAGGATATCATTGGTTTATCAAGGCTTATAAATTTGAGAATGTTCATCAGGTAGTTGAAAAGTCAGACAAAGCATGTAGAGGACACAAAGTGTCATGATTCAAAGTGATAAAAAGTAAAGTTGGCAAGTAAAAAAAAAAATCATTATACTTTGGGTCCTCCACATGTTTAAACTGACCTTTCAACCACCTGATGAACATTCATGAATGTTTTGAATATTCTATACATTAATTCCTAGTGATATTGCCAAGTAGATTCTAAAATATTTATTCAGTTTTGTTACTGGGCATAAAATAATGTTTACTGTTAAAAGGCATTCAAAAGTAAGAGAGACAAGAAGTATTGCTTTCCATCATGAGAAAGAATGTCCAAGTCTAATAAAGAAAGAGTTTAGAGTAGCAATTTTCAAATATTTGTTACTTTTCATTCAGAAATGTGTTATAATGCTAAATTATGTAGGCAAATGCTTGTTTGCACTGTTTACAGATGAGAAAAACATTGGCACAAAAAGTAAAAAAGACTAAAAACTTAAAAATTCAAGGTTTCAAAATTATTTCCTGTAAAATATAAGCTAAAAGTAAAAAATAAAAACACTAAAACTTAGAATGATCATTGTATAGGAAACTCTTCAAAATTTGAAGGCCATCCTATACTACCTACTTTCATTTTGAAATTATAAACCTTTAAATGATACAAGTTACGTTTATAAAGCAATTATCTAATTCAGTAAAGAAGAGTCAGTTGCTAAATTTAGAGTACCAAAATATTATTTTGGAATTATTTTTGCCACTTTCAGTAACTTTATAGCTGAAGAAGTGAATTCCTACAGGAAATGGTAAATGTGTCAAGTTGGGATGCTTGCCCATCCTGCTAACACTAATGACATTCATTTGAATTGAAATATAAATGAATACTTAGAAATTTGTTCAGAATAAAGATTTACAATATCTGTATTACAATCTTAAAAAAAAAAAAAAAAATTGAATTATGCTTAATACATTTAAGAGTTTTGCATTATACATGTTACAATTTATATTTTTTGGTAAGCAAAAACTAAAAAGCAACAATCCCTTTACAGCAGTAATAAGTAGAAAGTTATGAGCTGTGTGTGGACATATATAACTGAATCGAACACTTATTTTGTGAAGTAAGTCAGACTGAGAACTTTTCAGCATTTGCCTAGTATATAAAGCTCAAACATAGGTCAGATTTAACATTTATGAAGCAATTTACCATGATTGGTTGGAACAATAAATAGAATATATATTGGGTTGGCCAAAAAGTAAGTTTTTTTGCTTATTAAGTAGAAAATCCAAACCAAACAAACTTTTTGGCCAACCCAATACTTCCCTGATTGTAGGTACTTAACCCTGACTAAAATAAAATTAGTTGCATAGATTTGAGAAAATCTATTATCCATCTAAACTGCTACATGGATTATGTTACAAATAAATTTAAATTCTGTATCACAACCAACAGAGAAAGGAAGATCTTCCTGCTGAATTGGTGAATAGAATAAGCACATACATTAGCAAGCGATAAAAATTAAAAAGATACTAGCTTCCTCATACAGGCTATTTGAAATTGTAGGTCAAATAATTGCAACCTAATTAAATAGGTTTATCACATATGCTTGCAGTTTTATTAGAAGAGATGGTAACACCTGACATGTTAGTAAACAAAAAACAAGCTCAGATTTTTTTTTAATAAAAAAAAATATTTAAAATTGTTTCTATTACAGTTAAAAATCAAGAAGTCTTGCAATAAAATTAGAGTGTATATATATATATATATATATATATATACACGACAAACTTCATGAACCAGAATAATATGTTCAGATAATTGGGGTGGGTGTATAATGGAACAGTTAAGTGCTGAGAAAAAAAATCCAAATGAAATCAAGTGGTATATGTCTAGTGGATTAACTATTTTTAAGAGTTTATGATTGACTGAATTAAATCATTCAAATTATGGAGTTCTTTTCAAGGCAAAAGAAGTCTTAATATTACCAGTAGTTAAGTTTCAGGTATTTGTTTTTGTATTTAAAAATACTGAGAATCCAAGTCAAAAGAGCCATAAAAACTGATATGTCCTGGAGAGGGATATATTTGAACAAAGTAGCTAAGTGGTTTTGGCTACTATAACCAAGTAGAATATGGTAGTAGTAATCGACTGGTATGCGTCATAGTCGCAGGTAAGAAGTGTAGATCAATGACGTAGTCCAATGGGCGTCGTTATAGACTTAGTTCTCAGACTAAGGCTCTTGACTCTCCTACACATCCGTCAGTATTTATGATGGACACCAGCCAATCATATTCCAGTGAGGGGGAACACAGGCGTATGCATATTCCATTATTTCACCTCCCCCTGAGCTAAATTCTCCCGTGAATTTTAGCTTTAATACTTCCTCTTCTTAGTGTCTGGACATAAACGATTAACTTTTTTTCTAAGCCTTTTTTGCCTCAATCCTCCTTGCAGTGGTGGCATTTGACACACTGGTACCGCTGGGCTTGAGGTCAGGGATACCTCCATCGGCAAATGTTGACTCACTGGCATGGGAATATCAAAGGCGTTATATAAGACTTCCATTGGAATCTCTTCAGTATTTTCCGTGACCTCTGTAATCTGTCTGGGTCTTAACCGATTACAATGCCTTTTACAAGGGAATTTTTCTCCTTTTACGTCGTATATGACTTGACCAATTCTTTTGGTTATTACACCTTCTTCCCAATACAATTTTCCAGCCCTAAATTTTTAAAGAAAACTATATCTTGGCTTATATACTTTAGTCATGTAGTTTTGTTTCTTCGCAGTTTTCTTTGCCAGACTAGGCAACAGCCTGTCAAAAACAGAGC